ACTTGTTAAAAATATTATCAACTAGATTTGGTATTCCTTAGAGAAAGCTTAGATTGATGTATAAAATAAGACAAAACAGTATATAGAGTAATAATAAAACATACATAAAAATAACCAAACAGAAACAAAATCAGCTATATTTTTCCATTCAGGTACATTGGCCTTAAATTTAAAATTCACTTTAAATTTTCACTTTAGTAAATAACTTTAATCCCATTGTACAGCGCTACGGAATCTGATGGCACTATATAAATAATAAAATAATAATAATAATAAAAATCCCTGGCAGACACAATTCCCTCCATTTTATACAGCATTGAGTCTGTATCTGCAATAATTAAATCACACCCATATGACTATGAAGAAGGCAGCAGTTTGAAAAGGAAAAGCAAGGTGGAATTTTTGAATGCCTAAAGCCTCAGAAGGCCTCAACCGTATACTGCTTTGTAATTATTGTCTAAAGTAAACTGACATTGAAGAGCTTTCTTTGCATAAATAGCTTGTTTTCCTTTTAAGATTTATGGCTTTGTAGAGCAGACGCCTTTATAGTGTGTGTAATGTGCACAGTTAGTGTTCTTTAAACAGAGCCAGTTTTGAATCCTGTTCCCAAAAGCCCTCGGGCAGTGTCCTCAGGTATCAGTTAAGAAACCCACCGTCAGTTTGTCATCAACAACTTGCTGTCACATGAAACTCCACTTGCAAGTCCATTACCTCTTAATGTGGGGTGTTTTATCTCCCAACAGGAGGTAGGACACTTCACACCTAGTGAAAGCCCATGTAACCAATTCATGGTCCCACACAAGCAATTTTTCACATTGCTCTTTAAGTTCGAATTAATTCCCATCCTTCACACATTAACTTCACGTAATCACACTTACTACTGCTACTGTAGGTGTGAATGGAAAGCTGTTAATAAACGTATGTATATCTGTGTGTGTATCAGCTGGGAAAACATTGCTTGCGAAGAGAAGTGTGAACGTCAGTCTAATAGTTATTGGCCTTTAAATAGGATATATTCAGAGTTCTTACAAATTAAACCATGTTTCATAAAGAAGACATGAATTAAAACATTAAAAATTGGAAAAAGGGACACAACACAGTCCAACGAGGATGGAGAGGGGGAAAAAAAAATCACATCACATAATAAATTTGTTATATTTAGAGCACCAACATAGTATGTAGTGCAGTCCAGTGGTATACACAATGAATCAAATAAACCATAACAATTTAAGGTGAATAGAAAAAAGACAGAAGTCCTGTTAAAAAAAATTTATTACGTAGAGTTAGTCATAATTCAGATTTTTATTTTATATTTTATTCTTTATGCATGATCAGACAAATTTATGTAGGAAATAGCATAACAAAGATATCACTTGCTATATATTATACATAAAACTTACATAAGGGCATAAAAGGGACACTACAGTCACCAGCTCAATGAAGTGGTCTGGGTGCCAGGTCCCTCAGGTTTTTACCCTTCAGATGCAAACATAGAAGTTTCAGAGAAACTGCTATGTTTACATTTCGGGTTAAGCCAGCCTCTAGTGGCTGTCTTCCGGACAGCCACTAGAGGCGCATCTGCGACGGTGGAGGCATATTATGACTCCATCGTGCAGAGCGTCCATAGGAAAGCATTGAGAAATGCTTTCCTATGGACACTTTGAATGCACGCGCGGCATGGGGGAGCTGACGTCGGCGGGGGTGGAGAGGTCACCAGCGCCGAGGGAGCCCGGCGCTGGAATAAGGTAAGCAGCTGAAGGGGTTTTAACCCCTTCAGCGCCACGGGAGGGGGACCCTGAGGGTGGGGGCACCCTCAGGGCACTAAAGTGTCAGGAAAACCACTTTGTTTTCCTGACACTTTAGTGATCCTTTAACTGCCCAGATAACAGAAAAATATAAACGGTAAAAGAGAAGGGGGTGTTCTCTATGTGAGAAAAAACAACTTTTCTTAAATTCCTTAGGCTGAACCTCTTTAATTCAGCTAAGGGGACCAGTTTTTATCCTGTCGGACAGTTCTCCTCCTCTTTGTAGTGGTAAATTATAATTAATTTGCATGTATTACGTAAATTAATTTTACAGTGTAGTTCAGATAAGACCTATATGCAGTGTTCGCATCAAATTCTATCTCAAAGTTAGTATACAGTTGTATTGTACAGCCCTACAGAATATGTTGGTGCTTTTCAAATAATAATAATTATACCATGTCTGCTCTTGTTGAATCTGATGGGGAAAAAAAACAATTTAATTTCAACGTTGTTAAAATCATTTACTTTTTCTTATAAAAAGTTGCGGAAACCCTACTCAGAGGGCAAGAACTCAAGTAATTTGCTCTACCACATGTACAGGTCATAATTACATTTCTCAGCTTACGTTGAGGAATTGGAGCATGATAGGGCTAGGGGTTGGAGGAGCAGCATAATTATCCGGATCTGTCAGTTATCTGCCACTCACAGCTGTTACTAATTACAGACTCTGACAGTGCTGCTTCAGGTCAGTAGGAAGTGGCTTGGTCTATTGGAATGTGAGTGTATGACGGACAAGTTGAATGGGTTCTAGCCGCAGGGAGTTGGATAGAAC